CCATTCAAAAGCGCTGAACGATCTGCGACTCGACCCATCCTTGCTAGGGGGTGGGGGGGGGGGGCGCGCGGGGGGGGGGGGGGGGGGGAGCTCTGCGATCATCCTTGCAGGGCGGTGAGACGGTGAGATTGATCCCATCCTTGCGAGCACCGGGAGCTGTGAGTCGGTGCCGCCCCTCCTTCCCTCTTCCCCAAATTGCTAATCCGGACTCTCCCCTCTTTAAAAGGACAGTAACTTAAGTTTTGTTATAACTGAACTCCTGTGAAGATTGGAAGCGATTTGATTTCCTGTGATTGAAGCAGAAGTATATTGAAGCCAGGAGCGAATGCTCGGTACAAATCTGAGTCTACATAGTAAAAAATATAAACTGTTCGAATTGCCAGTGCAAGACGATCTACGTGCCTCTTTCTCTTAAAGCAACAAAGTGTATTTAAATTAACTAGGAGGGGGCCAGAAATCCCATTCATCAAGGGAGAACAACACAAAAAGTGTCCTGTTGCCTCCCTGTGAATTGTTCTGTTTATCTCTGCGGAAGAAGGGGCCAGAGATCCCTCCCTTCAGCATCTTTGCATCTTTACTATCTCAAAAACTCAATCTACAAAACAAGACAGAGAGCGTAAACCCTTGCTCACTGATTGTTTTCAAGAGGAAAGAGGAAAACAGCTTGAGTAGGTTAAAACCTGTCTGACGCAAAGAAACTGCTGTTTCCTCCAGCCCAGGAAAAGAGGCCAGTTTATTAGGGGTTATAAACCTATTCTCAGATATCAACAACAGCTAAGCAAAGCAATAACCCTTTACTTCCTGACTCTCAATACTACTTCGTTACTTTCACTATCTCAAAACTTATCACTTTCTACTTCAAAACCTATATCAAAGATTAGATAATGGTATCTCCAAATCAATTTCTTTAAAATAATTTTTATCAAATGATTTATTGATTTATTGTTTTATTGATTAGTATGATGGATTGTTTAGTGCATATAGTGTAATTACTGAATATCTGATTAGTAAAATCAGTGATTTAGTGAATCTAATTGACCAGTGTGTTTAGTAATTACTGTAATAAATTAGGCTGTTTGTTGCTTAGCAAAATTATTTGATTAGAGTGATTTGAATAACCAATTGATTGATTGATTGATTTTTAGTAATAAGTAACCTTACTTTTGATTTGTTCTCTAACATATCAATTAACATTTATTAATTACCAACATTCATTAAGTAACTGTCTACCTATCTCATTAACTAGCTATTGTAATTGTTTAGTGTACTATTGCCATTGACCATGCCAGCCAAAAACTCCAAACTAAAACAAAAGAAAAATATATCTACCAATGACCTCCCAGAATCCTGCACGTTTCAGATGTCTTGAAACCATCAATGAAAGCGAAATTTACATCAAATGCCGCCTATGC